GCTTATGAAATGTTGAAGCATATCTCCCATAAGTACATCTCTCAAGTAAACATAGAAGCAAATTGCTCTGTACAAATTTCAAAGGAGAATGTGTTATGAAGTGTATAAAATCCCTAAAGGATTCAAATTCCTTAAAGTAAGCTTTGGAAGGGTAAAGCACAAATTATATACTCAATACCGATGGATGATATAAATTACCTTAGTGAGTACTTTCATTATGATATTGTTGCAATATACTATATCTCTTGCAAGAGTTTATATTAGATTTGGTCTTTTTAAGAGTCTAGAAAGATTATAAAGTGTTGAAAGGAATATTGTCCCGAGTTGTGGATCGAATAATGCCAACACGACTCTTATCCATCAAAAGATTTATGGTATTAAAGAACCATATGGATTGAAGATCATGAGTTGAACACTCAAATGATTAATCAATATTTAGACACTATGAAAGATCATTCATTCTTGTGAGGGAAATGGTGAACTGATACTTGGTCCAGAATTACCATATCTTACTGAAGCATGTGCCTTACTTTATTTAGCACAATACACTGGATCATATGCTATATTTCCTATGAAGCACAATACCAACATATGGATATTAGAATAAAATAAAGTTTATTTATTGTTATCTCTGGGAAATTATAGACATGCACTTATTCTATTCCAAAGAACTCACTGATAGCCATAGTCTTATTGGGCAAGTAAATTTGAATCTCTCTCTAGCCTGCATACAGATCACTCACATAAAGGATTTGTATTTACATTAGGCATAGTCTAATAGTATAGGTAGTGATTACTCATTGCGAATATATCAAGCATGATTACCCATATAATAATATGGTCCCCAATCATAGATACACCAAATAGAACCATACCCTATCGATTCCACATGACCAACATATATCTAAGCACACAGACATACAAGTGCTACAAAATAATTATAATATGTGGTTTGTGGCTTATCTCTTCATACTAATAGTTACCAAATTTCATTATTGTCATCTAGAGCTTAATAATTACGTAAATCTCGATAAGGTGCCACTTGCACGTAATTAACCAAGATGCACATCTCCCAAGATGGGCTGCTGACTGAAGTAGGTCCACTAAGCTCTATCAGGCCTCTCGTAATGTTAACTTTTGCCCTTAAGAACGATTCAAAAGATGTTAACCAAAGTCACCTCTCAATCAACAAGTAGATGAAAAGTATAGGGAAAAATTATTGTCATTGATTAATTGAAACTAACTGATACAAGCACTACTATATATAGTGAAAACTAAAGCAAAACCTAATCCTTAAAGGATATAGAAAACTCTAATATCCTTGTCCTACAAGAAAACCATAAAACAAATCCTAGACAAAACAAAAAACTTAACGGGCAAGTAACAAATCCTTGGCCCGCAAGATAACAACCTAAATTCCAATCTAAATTCCAACACCCCCCGTCAAACTCATGGCGGTACACAAACATGAGTTTGCCAACCAGTAGATGCGGATGCAATCTCCGTTAGGCGGACAAGACAAGGCGAACAAGCTAGCAAACGAACAAACAAACGAGCAAACAAACGAACGAACAAACAAGTAAGCAATTTCCATACTACCAACTCCAATCCTCGCGGGCATCTTCTTCAAACGTTGAAGAAGCGGGTGGATGCAATTCAACAAATGCGGCCTTAGGTGGTGGTTCTTTTAACTCTTTCCGAGCTAACCAAGGACATTGATTTTTCCAATGCCCTTGTTCTTTGCAGTAGCTACACTGATCAATATTTTTAACACGCTTCTGGTTTTGAGGCCTAAATGATGTTGCCAAAGCCGATGGGTTCACCAAAGAAAGACTACGCGATTGTACCCGAACTTCTTCGGCTTGCAATTCATGAAGCACATAATCAACGGAAGGAAGTGGAGTCCGGTGTAGGATAGAGCTACGGAGAGTCTCAAACTCACTTCGAAGAGGCATTAAAAACTGAACAAGGCGTTGTTCTTCTCTATATTTACAATAGAGCTCATCATTGCTAAGTCCATCAGGTTCTGTCAGTGCAAGCTGGTCCCAAAGACAGGTCATGTCATTATAAAAATCTTGGATACTTTTATCACTTTGCTGGCTGCCACGAATCTCCATCTCTAACTGATAACGCTTAGCAAAATTCGACTTGGTACACAACTTTGCTAAGTGATCCCAAACCTCTTTAGATCTTGAGAACTTAGAAAGTTGCATTCCAATCTTCAAATCAACAGAGTTATTAATCCAAGTAGTAATCTTTGAATTGTTCATCTCCCAATTAGCAAGCAAGTCAACATGTTTTTCATCTTTGGGGTTATTCGGAACGGAAATCATTCCAGATACATAGCCCCACAAACCTTTTCCAATCAAGAAATTCTTCATGACATATGCCCAATACACATAATTATTACCATTCAATCTCACACCAATCGCTTGCAGCGAGTCATCCTTAGTTGTCATATTCAATGAACCAAAAACAAAGACAAAGTGCACAAAACTGACAATAGTTTGATGTAGGCTACAGACTGATGCAAGCAAATCTGATTCTGGGCAGCAGGTTTGGTGAGCCAACTGACAGCTACACGGGTTTCTCTGCAAGCCTCCCTGATGCAGCGGAATATGGTGGTTCAAGCAGCAGCGGTGGCGGACGGTGCGAGACAAACGAACAAACAAGCTATCAGATGAACAAATATATAATCTATGAGACAGGTCCTCACGAACCTGCTCTGGTACCAAGATGAAAAGTATAGGGAAAAATTATTGTCATTGATTAATTGAAACTAACTGATACAAGCACTACTATATATAGTGAAAACTAAAGCAAAACCTAATCCTTAAAGGATATAGAAAACTCTAATATCCTTGTCCTACAAGAAAACCATAAAACAAATCCTAGACAAAACAAAAAACTTAACGGGCAAGTAACAAATCCTTGGCCCGCAAGATAACAACCTAAATTCCAATCTAAATTCCAACACAAGTCAGCAGTAAAGTTCCGGCCCAAGCATCGTCGTCACGCGCCACTACACGCGGCGATTTTTGATGAACAAGATCCATAATTTTCGACTAGTACTAAACGCCATCAAACTTCATAGCAATGTAGAAGAAGACAAGGGAAAGAAATTTCATGCCTGAGCCGACTCCTAAAGGTAGGCGAAAGGAGGTGAAAATCATCGAAGAAGCCTCGGAAGGCCGTGAATTGCACGCCATCGTCCGACGTCCGATGGATGACTAGAGACCAGGTCCTTGAAGTTGGGGTTAATGCGAGTCCAACCCAGGTGGCGACCAATTTCGTTCAGTGGATTCACCGCAGATCGATGAGACACCCGCTGCTACCCAAGTACAATTGTGGCCTGGATCCGTCGCGTACCGAGGCCAATGAGAGGGATATATGGGTGGATTGTGATATGTAGGTCAAGGGCTACACTTTGGTAGTTGTGGCGACAATCGATTCGCTGGAAAATGACGTGAATCGACGTTGGAAAAAATCTTTGCAAAACCGGGTAGCGTCGCCTAGTCGGGTCAAGCACATAGGTCAACTTTCCAAAATCGACAAATCCCTCCAACAAACTTGGCACTTCTATTTATAGAGGTTCAAATGACTGTTTTGCCCTTGCATTTGCTTGCTTATTTCTCCTTCGTTATAACTTCGTTTTGTGAACGATTTTTTGCCTGCGCATAGTGGGATCAAGCTCTATCCAAAAATACTAAAAGTGACCTCGAGAGTCTATGAATTTTTAATGGATGATTATTCAAACTTCATAACTAAGTAGCTAAAGCTCTGATACTAACAAAAATAAAATAAAATGAAATTATGAAATATCCAAATTCAAATAGTGAATTTTGGGGACAAGATTTCAGAGAAGACTTGTGGCCATTCAAGGGGAGTGTTGTGACTATGGATGCCCACATGTCTTGCATCTATTATTTGGTTTGAGTGGATGACCCATGCTTTTACCAAATTGTCAAGGGAAGTGGTTTGGTAGGGTTGTTAGGTTGAAAGACATTTAACCTATAAAATAATCATCCAAGCAAGAGAGGAGGATATACAGCAAGAGAAGAGGAAAGAAAAGACAGAGGCGACATGCAGAAGAAAAAAATCAGTGCTTTTCAACCTAACAACCCTACCAAACCACTTCTTTTAACATAAAGTTATTTTGTACTTCTATTATTTCAGATAATAAAAGAAAGTACTACTGCTCCTGAGGACGTGGGCACACTTGTTAAACCTTGTAAATGTTGTGTCTTATTTATTTTATATTTTACTGCACACATATCATCGGTTTCACAACATGTTCATTTAAATAACCCCAATTTTTTTTCAAAACTTAAAAAGTTAGAAAAGCACTATTAATAATAGTTAAATTAATACTCACTATTGAGTTTGTTAATTTATTTAAAACTAACCTCTTACCAAACGATTATGAGTGTGACAATTTACTCTTTTACATCGTATTTTTTACTTATAATTTTTATTTTTGTTTAGAATTTTTATTTTTGTTTAGTTTGATTTTCTTTTCAAAATAAATGAAATCTTAATTAGAGCGATACGCATCACGCTCAGATTTATAAGGCCTTTATTGAGTTTGATTTTATTTTCAAATTAAATTGTTTTTCTGTCAGTCTTATACCCATAATATTCTCTTTTGTGTCACCATACAAGAATTATCTTCTCTTTTTGTTAGAAGAATAAAAAGGCACGAGAGATAGTAGTTACTAATCAATAGTGCATTCCCTATATATGTCAATTTTGTGTAGAGAAAACTTTGCTAAATCAAAATTTACAATTTTAGGAACGTAATTATTATCCTATTTGGTGTTTGACACCATCTCTTAAGAGAATATCCTGAATAAAATAGATACGTGAATCATAAATATAAAATTATAGGAACAAATTTGTAGGACTTGTAAAGAGAGAAAAGATGACACATGGGCAAATGGAAACCTCAAAATAACCAGTCAAATCCACAAGCAACGGTTATTTGTAAGAAAAATCAGCTCCTACAAATCCCCACATTGAAATACGGATACCCAATATTTGGGCGCCAAACAAGGCTTCAATAAAATTACAGTTACAAAACTTGAACACAATAATCCCCAAGAGAGATAGAGAAAAGACACAAAACCTTAATCCACACGCTAAAAAAACCCAGGGAGGAGAGAGAGAGTGGCATCTTTAGAGACAGAGCGAACTGAAGAAGATCAAAGGGCGAAAAAATGGCGCAAGCACAACCACCTGGGGAAAAAATCCAAGACGTCCCAGAAATGGAGGTGAAAGAAAACCCAAGAAGTCCATCGTTCAAATTCAATGCACAGGCACCTGAATTTGTGCCAAGATCACATGCCCAGATGCCAATTTCTGGTTATTTCTATCCCTACTTTCACTTTCTTGGTGACACTACTTCCCCTGATTGGTTTTACGTTGAGGACCAAGAATTGCCTCCGTACTTGATCTCCAATAATCCCAATATCGATCCGCTTTCCAATCGGTCCAAGAATGCGATCCCGGATGATCTTCAACAGAAGATCATCAAGCAGGTGATGTGTCTTTGATTGTTAATTCTTTTTATTCCTTTTGTTTTGTACGTCAAGGAAATGTCGTTTGTCAAATTGTGAATCTAGGCTATTGACCATGATGATTTTTGTGTGAATGTGTACCGGGTTCAATATGCCAAAAGAAACCTGGGATGAACCTTTATTTTGTTCTTATCGTTAAAACTCAAACTTTTCAAGCCCTTTTCATTAGTTTTCCTTAAAATATAAGCCTGGATTTTTGGATCATGTTGGGCAAACTGGGATGATCCTTTTAGGACCTTCACTTATTACACTCCCACCATGGCTTTTACAAGTGAGATTACACAAATAGATTTAGATTCAACCATGTGTGACACATGAAATCTGAAAAACTTATGTTAGCTTAGTATTTGTTGACAAATTTTTCTAATCGTTCGAATTTTCTTGCTTTAGTGGTTGTCTAATATGGTACCAACACCAATTGGCATAGAGTGGGTTCAAAACCTCCAATTCCGGTTTCCCACTTCTCTCCCTTGCCACGCAGTTTCTTAATTTTCGGAAATAGGATTTTCGTTGCGGATCTTATCCAGTTTAATATAAGAAGCCATTGAAAGCGTTGGTCGAATGCTGTCGATGTCCCATAACGAAACCTGTATCGAAATGTCTTAAACAGTTGGAGATCCTCTAGAAATTATGAGCCATCATTTCACTCTTTCAAATTTGCAATGCATGAGATGTTAAATTCTTCTAACATATGGATTTGTCGTTATCCTTATTGATGCCCATAATCATTAAACAATTACGACTGGACCATGACAGCGAACCGATTTTTTTGCATAAAACAGGTGGAGTACCAGTTCAGTGACATGAGCCTGCTGGCAAATGAATCCTTATCAAAACACATAAGTAAAGATCCCGAAGGCTTTGGTAGGCAATTTCGGAAACTACTTTCTGCAGATTTAAGTAATTTTTTGTTCCACATTTTAATTCATGCATAATTATGTATTTTATAACAGTTCCAATATCTGTTGTTGCCTCCACCAAAAAAATGAAGTCACTTATTAGTAACAACCATATTCTCGCCCAAGCGCTCCGGTCTTCTTCAAAGCTGGTAAATTGTCTGATTAAATTGCTGATAGTTTTGTCGTCATTCTTCGTTCCCTGATAGTATTACTCATTTGGTCTTCAAGCTTTCATCCCTGTTCTTTAATAATTTTATTGAAGGTTGTAAACGAGGATGGCAAGAAGGTTCGACGTAAGCATCCTTTTACTGAAAAGGACAAAGAGGAATTGCAGGTAAAAAGTAAAAACAGATGCTTACTAATTAAACTACATCGATTTAAGCATTCTCATGAATCTTTTTATGGTGTGTTTGTTCTTTTTCCGTTCTTGTAGTCTCGCACGGTTGTGGCAGAGAATTTGCCTGAAGATCACTCTCATCAAAACCTAGAGAAGATATTCAGTGTGGTTGGAAGGTTGAATTTTTCGCACCAAGTTTTTCCATGTTCTTTCTTTTTTTTTGTGTTATCTATTATGAGAGGATCATCACTGCATATTTACACTTTCTGTCAAGGACAGCGTGAAAACCATCCGAATATGCCATCCCCACGAATCCAATTCTTCTCGCTCAAAAGGCGATTTCATTATCAGCAACAAGGTACAAGATTAAATTAACCATTTTGTCCAAATAGTCATATCATTTCACAAGAACTTTCTTAGAATTTCTCTTCTCATTTTACATTTTATGCAGCTTCATGCACTTGTGGAGTATGAAACAACAGACATAACAGAGAGAGCGGTATGTTTAATGACATTATAACTTCAGATTCCATCCTTTGTATTCTTAACATTTTTCATTCATCAGGTTGAAAAGTTGAGTGATGAAAGGAACTGGAGAAAAGGTCTCCGAGTAAGGATGCTGCTCAGACGCTCGGTATGTCTATAAAACAACAAAGGATGTGGTTTTCTGTATAACTTGTACATATTTATATAGACCTAAATGTATTTGACAAGCCCTCATTGCTTCTGGTACACCGTAATTTTCAGCCAAAGTCGGTTTTGAAGAACAGAAAGTCTGATTTCGATGGCATTTTAGAGGATGAAGAGCCATTATATGATTGTGCAGAAGAAACTTCTCACCCAAGCAACCTTGAATTGGTCATTGATAGTCCTAATGTAAGTCCTTTATTGAATAACCAATCACGTTATCATGCCATTACATTGCCTTTTACATCATGTACCGTACTTTATAGAGGCGAGATCCACCTATACAAGTGGATCACACTTCTATTAAAGGTATGCTACAAAATGTGGTATAATAGCATCTTTATCTCAAATGAAAATCTGTTTGCGTAGGGTGAAGAAAATTCAGCGGGGTCCAAGAAAGGATGGGCGTGGGGGCGCAGTAAGGGCCGAGGACGCGGGCAGAGCCAGAGTAGTCGTGGCCTGATTGCCCCGTCTCCGCTATCAAGCAGCACCATCCAGTGTGAGTCATCTGCAAAACAGAATTCCAAGGGCCCAAGAATGCCAGATGGTACTAGGGGTTTCACCATGGGAAGAGGCAAGCCAGTAAGCGCCACGAATTCGCCGTAGGAGAGTGAGTGATTTTGATGGTGGCTCAATTTTGCTGAAGGTCTACTTAGTTACTAGAAGAATACGCATATGGCTCTCTGCCTACCCTAATTAAGGAGTCTTGAGAAGAAGGGGGATTTTGGTTATGTTCGTGAAATGGGTAATTTGATTATGGATTTTAATTGAGGTGTATAATATGGTAAACACAATTTTGGGATGGCATTAGCTCTTGGCAGTGATCATTTAGTGATCACATTTTTTGTTTTTTGTTTTTTGTTTTTCCTATAGAGGTACTTTGCTTTTGGGATGGAATTTAATTCTCTTTTGTAAAATTCTATTTGAATAATGAAGTTGATGGATGAACTCTCTCTCTCTCTCTCTCTCTCTCTCTCTCTCAACCATCTTTACATAATAATAATTTATAATTTTAAGCACGAAATTTCATAAATCGGCTGCAAAATGTTTTGAGAAGGATTTCTTTCAAAACCTTGAATAACCAAGTATTCATTCTAACCAAATGGACGGATGAAGGATACTTAAAAGGTTTTTGTACCACAAGCCCATTTGATAATTATTTCATTATTGGCTATTACATTTGGTGTTAATGATAGCGTAGAAATACATAGGTATCCATAGAAAATGGAGGGACGAAGAAGAGTGGAAGAAATATGTCAAAGAAATGTGCAAGAAATGGACACAAAATGAAAACTAAAAATGGAAAACTATTCTACCTTGTTTTCACTTTCAAGATTTTGTTTCATTCATTCTTCCTTGTTTCTTCCCATTTTCCCCATCACCCTTCTTTTGAACCTCCTTTCACCGTAACTTTTCTCATATCTGAAGCACAAAAAAAAATTAAAAAAATTAAAAAAAAAAAAACTAAAAACCAAATAATTATAAACGATATTGTTTAATATTATTGTTCTCTTAGATAATAAATTAAATATTATTTTTCTTGATTACTTGGTTCGTTCCCCAGAACTCCTTTGTAGCTTTTTTTAAAAAGGAAAAAACAGATCCTAGTCAAGGGATTTCAAATTCTTAAAGAAGACTTTCTGTCTATTCAAAGAAAGAAAAAAAAAGCATACTGTTTATTCAAAGAAAGATAAAAAAATGGCCCATGCAGGTCTCGAACCTGCGACCTTCGCGTTATTAGCACGACGCTCTAACCAACTGAGCTAATAGGCCAAGTTGTCTACAGTTCCTTTCTGTTCTAATATCACCTTGAGGCAGCACCCCTCCTCCTTGCGCATAAGTTGCATAACATTTCAATTTCAACTTGTGTTACACTATGTTTGGATGAATGAAATAAATTTGAAATTTATATAAAAGTCAAAATTTATAAATTAATATGTACCAATATTCTTGTTTGGATTTATAAACATAGAAATTTAGAATTTCTATGTGGGAAAAAAAAAAAAACTTGGAATTTGAGACCTACAATTCCCAAATTTAAATTTCCATATAAATAAGTGTCATTTCTGAATTTCCATGATTGAGAGCTTAAAAAAAAAAAAAAAACTTCAGTATTCAATTTGCTTTTAATCATGGTTCAGTTCAATTGCCCACCACTCCAACTTTTGCTTACCCATCTTTGTACCCTTTTCATATTGTGAAATCACTGAAATGTGAATGTTATCTTTTTGCTGCTATGTGGTGACAGTTAGGGCTCGTTTGCTAGAAGTACTTTTGTGAAACCTAACTTTAAAAAAAAAAAAAATCAAAATGTGTTTTGTTGAAGTTGATTTTTATTTATTTATTTATTATTTATTATTTATTATTTATTATTTTTTAATTTTATGTTTTCTAAACCTTACTAAGGGTAGTTGACTCTTGGTGTTATGTTGAAGATATGAGGACTTTATAGTATGTACATGTATAGTATACGTTAAAAAATTTTGGTGTTAGATTCTTAGTTGTATCTTTGGTTGCATATCCAATCCTTCATTCATTTGATGCATTCCTTGCACCAAAGCATGATAGAATTTGTGTAATAGGAGATTATGAGTTGCTTTATGAAGAAGGTTTAAGGTTCCACTATAAAACTAATTGGTAATATGAGAAGTAATCGAATACTTATAAGCATGTGCAAAGTCCATTCTTTTCCCGATGTAGGATACACAATCTCAACACTTTCATTATGTGACGATGAAGTATAAATCCACAATGTCCTTTGGATAAGTCAATCTAGATACGCAGAATATAGAACCCAGATCCTCTTCGGATCTAAAGATCCTGAGCCTAAGGATCAAATGATCCAAGCCGTTGAAATTTGATCCAACGGCTACAAACAGGGAGCCCCTCTAAACATTATAATAATTGTAGCCGTTTTTAACGGCCTGGATCATTTGATCCTTAGGCTTAGGATCTTTAGATCCGAAGAGGATCTGAGTTCCAGAATATATATCTTTAGTTCAACAATCATTACATACATTGAATAAATCCTGCGTAAAAGCAACAGCAGAAATCCTTTTATACATAAAGACTTTGTATGTAATTTTCAACCTATCTAAGTGCTTTTCCAATATTATTTTAAGTTATTGTGTGATTGTGTTTATCTTCTGTATTTTTTTTTCACTTGCATCAGCTAACACAAATAACCTCTCTGATAGGCTATGCCTGCCATTAGTGCAAAAGATAGATTTTGCTAGGTCTCCAATTTTTTTCTCTTACAACAAAGGATTATGCAATGATGCACATGAAGAAAGCTAAGGTTTAACTGAATGATGTGAAATACGTATGCTCGTTAGGCTTCATGCTCTGGCAAACCTTGCTCTAATATATCATAAAGATTGCACCCGAAAACCAGCAAGCAATGGCAGGACTAGCCCAACTCCTCGTAAGCTCATTCAAAGTTTCATAACTCTCAGATCGATGTGAGAGACATCTACACTTCCCAAGTATACATCCTTAATCCTTTCCAGTTATGTTCTGAAGTTAGACGATCAGAAGTGAAATTGTAGTAGAAAACAAAATTGTATAATGCAAAGTGCTTAGTTAAACACTTCCAACTTAAATACTTTGGTTAGCTTTGCTCTCAATGACATTTGTAATTCCACTGATATTAGTATGATAATTAAGCATTAAGCACTACGTGGTTTCAGGCACTACCTTTGATTATTTGTACATTGACTCCCATGCATCATTGTATATGACATCCTAGTCAGGTTTTGGATTCTTCTCCTACCTAAATAGCATGTGCAACTATTTGGACTAAATTATACCTTCCTCACCATTTCATATAAAAAGTTCAACTAGTCCATGCACTTCCGATATCAAGTTATAGAATTTTAAGTTGTAATAAGTTGGTAATTAACAGTTCTTGAAAAACAAACAGTTAATATCTATGATCATTACTTGGCTTTTGTTCTGTTTTTTTCATGCGTAAAGATTATTTGCAACTGTTCTGCTACATTAGATAACTGGAAGAAATCTTAGTGTGCGTGTATGTTGAATATTGAATTAAACTAATTTAGCTTAGCCATATGATTGATTCAGAATAAGTGGCTTCGAATTTATAAATTTCTTCGATATGTAAGTAAGAATGTTATGGACTAACAACAGGATTCTTGTCAAATATAATAGGAAATTCAGTGCTAGCCAAATGGATTTTATTCAAGATACTACTTCCTCCTCAGTTGAATAAAATTCTTTAGTGGTTCGTATTTGCAGAAATGCTAAACTTGGACAAATGTGTATGAATTGATCTCTTTAATACTCACCCCAGAGTCGCAGGTTTGTTGTATACATGGTGTATGTTACATAAACTTCATTTTCTATTTGTTGTATTTATTTGGAAACAATCTCAAACTACAAGCAATAGCGAAATGTTGAACGAAAGTCTTTCAATTTGCACTGTCCAAAATCATCACCAGCAAATTTTATATAAAAAGCTTTTCAATAAGAGGTTCATACACCGGTGCATTGATAGATTTTGGCTGTTTTTGCAGTGCTCATGTCGATCATCTGTTTTAAGTATGGCATCTTCCAAAAAAGATCTCTCTCATGTCACTACAACATTCTTTTTGCTTCAAAAAGAGATCATGGTCGCTTACCGCCTTCAATTGAATGTCTGCTTTATTAGCATGAAAGAAAGTGATATAAAAAATAGGAAATGGATGATATCATGGCGGCTTATGCCCTCCGGAAAATACTCCAATATGATTACTTAGTTGCAGAGTTGGCCATTAAGTTTACTACCATAGTGGCATTACCACTCTGAGTTTAACCAATGAATTCACTTTGAATTTCCACCGTTTTCGCCTATAAATAACAGTGAAACCTCCTCTTAGATGTCATCAAATGAATCTTACAGCAAATATTCGACACTGATCACAAGCTATGACTCACAAAATCATCTCCTGCTTCACCATTGCTTTATGCTTGTTCTTGTTTTTGTGTCCTTTTGTTCATATGTATCCCTTTTCTTATACTAGCCAGCTCGATTACAATTTCTACGACAGAGCGTGTCCTCGCTTGTCAATGATTGTCCGGTACAATATTTGGGCAGCTCTCAAGAACGACACCAGGATGGCTGCATCCCTTCTTCGGATGCACTTTCATGATTGTATTGTCAATGTAGCTTTTCTTTCCTTCTTCAGACTTTTCCACATCTTTATGCCCTTTGCAACCACATTTTGTCAAATTCATGCTTGAAAGTAAATATTATTCTTAGTACTCTCCTTTACCCTTATTCTTTAAAAGCAATTGATACAAGTTACTTGCAATGATCACGAATTAACATAAAATTTCGTAACAATGAGGTTTTGTGTTTACTGAAAAAGGATGTTTTAGAGTTTAGATCAACTCTGTTGTTACAAGGTATTAACGTATCAAACTTTTTGTTCTTTCGCAGGGATGTGACGGATCAGTGCTTCTTGATGACACAGATGAATTCAAGGGCGAGAAGAATGCTCCAGCAAATCGCAATTCTCTTCGAGGGTTCGAAGTGATCGACAGTATAAAAGCAGATGTCGAAAAATTCTGCCCATCAACTGTTTCGTGTGCCGATATTTTGACTCTTGCAGCAAGAGAAGCTGTTGTTCTGGTACTTGACACATTTCTGTATCATATGAAATGTATAGAAATGGTAGTTTTATATTTTTAGTCTCACTTTAGTTTCGTTCTTCTGGGTTAGGCAGGAGGGCCTTTTTGGCCTGTTCCATTGGGCAGAAGAGATGCAACAACAGCAAGTGTGAAGGCAGTTAATGAACAAATACCATCACCTTTTGAGCCTTTAGCGAATATCACTGCCAAGTTCACATCAAAGGGTCTTGACATTAAAGATGTTGTAGTACTCTCAGGTTCTTTTTTTTTTTTTTTTTTTTTTACTTTCTTCCAACCAAACCATCTCTTTATTTTAGTTCTA